ACAAGAAACAGAAAAAAGAAAACTGAATGTTTTGCAAAGTTTTTGTTGATTATCATTCCAATGATATTCCAGTAAAGGTTTTGAATGCTCAGTAAACCCCTCCCAGCCTTTTGATATTAAAAATAGCTTATACTGACAGACCCAGTATATGTTAAGCAAAGTGGTTGGAACATTTGACAAGTAGGCAAATTTGTGGGAAATTACAGTGTTTGTATGAGAATCTAATGCCAAATAATTTCCATGAAACGGCTGTTCTGAAAAAACATAAGACTTGTAAACTAAAGCTACAAAAGATGGCATCGAAAACCGTGGCAAGGTCTACTAGCCTCTTGTTCCCACACTAAACCATTATAATCATTTCAAGTATAATTCAGAACTAAAGGGTAATTTTTGTACAAACAAGGAAATACTTGAACCCGAAGTCTAAATTGGCCCTGTATTCTGCATTTACGCCCATAAATATTTGTTGTGGCTCCCGGTATATATGTTGTAGTTAATTTTCTATTTCAGTTAATTTTTATTTTTCCATTGTTTTGGGGTATGGTAATGTATGCTAATGAATTTAAAACAAAGGAAAAACAAAAATTAACTGAAATTAAAAATTAACTGCAACATATACAAACAAACAGTGAAGTAGAAATTCAGTGGTTTAATGAACATTCACATATAACTGTTGCAAGAATCATACCAACATATTGTGCTCGTAGCATATGTTTAAGATAAGAAAGAGAGTCTTAATATAAGAGATGGAGCAAGATGGTCGCTCGAAAATTCACGAAGCTAAAATAACTGAACTTGCCGAGATCCTGAATCGCGATAAGGGAAGTCACCCATGAATTGTTCATACATCACGCCTCCTGATGTCCAAAAGGTCCATTAAAAAGTTCATGGAAACCTCTTCTTGATATTTGTACGCGGGAAAACTTAAAACCGAGCAAAAAGTCATCGTCCTTCCATGTCTGCATTCCCCGCCATATTTGTTTTCGAGGAAAATTTGTACTCAGTCTCACTCGGCCAAATTTCTTAACTGGGGTGATCATGTAAACTTGGTTCCAGTCGTTGCTGACAGCCCCCCCTGCTGAACATCAATGCAAATATGGGACCCAAATAAGTTTTTCTGTGATTTCTAAAGTTTTTTTTAACTACATCTGTATTTCATTTCCTGAAGCTTGAATACCCGTTTGAGGAGATTTACACTTCACAATTATTTTACCAGAGACTCAAGACGAGACAAGAGAGTATGTGAGTTCTTCAACTGATGATACGAATTTAAGAATGGACATTGGTAATAAAACGGCCGCAAACCACTGCAAAGGAAGTCGATGGTTTTAAGATCTTACAGAATAATTGTAAATTACAGACTTGAGCATTCTTTTTCTGTAAGTTTAATTTATTGTATTCCATTAACTCTTTAATATATTTTTTTGGTGACTAGAATACTTGTTTTGGCCGCCAAAAATAAAACCATGGGGGCCAGCTGGCCCCAAGATTTGAATCGAGTACTGCTGTGACAATTCAAGTTACTTTTCAGTACTTTATTCTAGGCAAGCTATCGACTCACGATAAATTTGACTCGTCTGGTTGGATGAGTGCTTTATGAGTTTCAGTCGTCTAAGGCCAAACCTACTCATCTCAGATGAGCAGATGAGTGAAAGTTTTTTGCCCTGATTACCACAAGAGTAATACAGTAAACAGTTTAAAACACATAAAGTCCTCTTTACATTTCAACTAACAGTTTGACAACATAGATGCCAGAGGTCAAAATGGAATTCAATTTTCAACTGAGGTTGATTCTAATTTGCTTTGTCTCAACTAGCGAAGTCTAATCTTGAGGGGTTTTTCTAACCCTTAAAAGCTAATCCACTAGACTCACCCCCAACTGGGTGATCATGATTAATACAAGTACAGTAATTATTAAATAAACACAGCAACTCCTTTAATAGTGCAATAAACATTGGGCACGCCAAGTGAGTTGTACATACCTACAATTGTTAATGGGATCCAACCTTGTTACATTGTTATCTGTCGTAGTGTATTCTGCTTGAAAGCCCAATCCCTGATTGGAGCCATCAGATATGAACACAAGAGTCAGACAGTTGTCATAAGTATAGATCTTGTCTGGCATTGAAAGATTTGAACATGAACAGAATTTGCCAAGTGATCTGTTGAGGTTCCCACATCTGAAATTGAAATGGAAAAATTCATTTAACTGTCAAGGTCATCGAGCACACTAGTGGGGAGGGGTGGAGCAATATGTCTTACATTTTTGTGCATTTAAGGAGATTTTCTTGTGAAGGGAGAGGGTTGGAAATTTTGTGCCAACTATTTTTCATTGTTGACACAAATCTGACATAGTTTTATCTGGGTTAAAAAATTAATTATTCTACAGTACAGTACAATATTAAAAGAAATTGTGAGGGAGTTACAGTTTATTACCTCTCTGGAAATTCCAGTCAAGCTTCATACATTTGCCGAACATTTTCGGCCTTTGAGAATTTCCAATTCTTCTCCAAAGGGAAAATTATGCATGACACATTTTGTCACACAACCATAACTATATTTAACAGAACAATGAAAGTTAAATATGGAGGCACGTCCTAGGAAGGGGTACATATGTCCATACAGACTGAATTCTAAATCTGGCTGCTTCACCTTTTGAGGAGAAGGCCATGTCCCTTGTTGGTATTCAACCCATCTTCATATTGTTTTTCCCCATCTCATTGAGTCTTACAGTGTAGAAGTATGTCAAGGCAGTTGCAATGCAGACATGTTGCTTGATGGTATTATACCCTGACAGGGCCTCAATATATATACATGTCCCAACAAAACAATTAATTTATTAACAGAATTAACACTTACCTAAAACCCTATTTTACAGGTATAAACTCACAATTAAAAGGATAATAATAATTATGTTACAGGTCAATTTTAATTTCAGGTTAATTTTGATTTAACCTGGGTTGATTCTCAATAATTATTAATTTTTTTATTATTACTTCCTTTTCATCTTAGCCCTAAGAGATAAAAATGTACAAATAAATGTATAATAGCTATAATAATTATGATTGTTGATTTAAAAATAGATGAGATAACTCATCTTAAAAATGATAGCTTGCGAAAACATCCGTTTCTCCTCGCTCTTCGCCGCTGGGGACGTGTCGCGCGGAGGAACATCTGCAACTCAGCGACAGAAATTCCATACTGATGACGTAAAATCTGTCCGGAATCCGGTCAGAAGCGCTGATTGGTGGACGCAGCAGTCACATTGTTTAGCTATTGTTTATGAATGACAGACAAAAAACAAAAGGCCACAAAGGTCAAATGTAAACGCGAAGAATCTCTAACAAAACAGTCACTTTTTGTGGAATATAGACTTCTGTAGAAGAAGCATTTGAATTTTGCTGGAGCTCGTGGGCAGATCAAAACAACACTTTACCAAAATCGACCAGAAGACACACAAAATTAGACAAATTTATATTTGGAACCCCATGACTACCGGATTTATTATGTAAACATTGATTTGCGTCATCAGTATGGAATTTCTGTCGCTGAGTCGCAGACGTTCCTCCGCGCGAAACGTCCCCAGCGACGAAGAGCGAGGAGAAACGGATGTTTTCGCAGGCTATAAAAATGATGCCTGATAAAAAAATGCAGATTGTTGAAATAATTACCGACTGGATAGGCCTTAAGTTTTCTGATTTTATTTTTGAAAGACTTTTCAGTTGTAACTCAGTTCTATAATATTGCTCGGTAGGCTGAGTCCCATAACCTGGCTATTTAACAATTATTCCTCGAGCCCGAATGGGCTCTGAGTCAATAGCCCATGAGGCCGAAGGCCAAATGGGCTATTGACTCAGAGGCCACGAGGGGGAGAGGAATAATATATTGTTTTAGTAAAATCCAACTTGTTGGTCAAAAATATCGAGAATAAAAAAATTTTAGCTAGTCAACCCATTCGCCCCTGAACCGCCCGTAACCGCCCGTGCGGATCCAGGTCCTTTCTACCCTTTGTGACGTCATCAGTTTTAACGGTCAAGGACAACTTTCTTCGCTAACTTGTGCAGAGTGAAGAGATCTTTCAAACCATACCAGAATGAGCACAATTCAGTCAAGGACACCGGAGAAAGAAGCAAAAAACCACGTGACAAGGACCTGAAAATCTCCATGAAAATCTTGTTCCATTACCCACCTACCTTTCCTTTCACCTAATCCTAAGATCCTAAAAGCTTTCCTAAAAACTCTTCCCACCAAAATGAAACCTACTAAATGCCCAGCAAGAGAAAAAAAAAATGAGGCAAGAAAAGCGAAAAAAGAAGGGAGGAGAGAAAGCGAAAAGTAAAAGTCAAGACTGCTGTGTCACTTTTAAACCCAAAAACTATGTCGAAATTTTGCTTTCTGCGCATGCCGGAACTTCGCAAGCTGATATTTTGCATCTGGATCAGAAGGCCGCCAAGTGTACGACCTGTAAGCCGGTTTGTGGTAAGTTTTAGCTCTTTATAGCACGACAGTGACCAGAAAACCACTCGACTAGCTTCAAAACGCGTTTTTCGGCAAAATCTCCAGGAGCGAATGGGTTAAAGCCAGACTTTAATCCTTGTTTGCCGCCAAAAAGCCTGCGCTTTGTTTCGCTACTAGTGGGCCATAACATATACCCTAGTAGTAGCTCAACCAATCAGAATGCAGCATTGATAATAGACCACTAGTTGGATTTTACTAAACTGTGTAATACCAAGATCTTAGTCAGTAAGAGGTGGTGTTCACTTTTGGTACAGTAAGAATGTCAATTCCTCTGAGGTCAATAGCTTGACTTCCTTAAAAGAAGTAAATAAATCTTAAAGACCTATGGGCACTTCACATTATTATTTTGATTAACTATTCCAAAAACAGTTTCTTAAATTTTGGCTAGTCCGTGGTTGATCCTCTGTATGGGTATTTCCAATGAAATAAAAGTCACAAGCACCACTATTGATGAAGCAACGATCTTACAGAGCAAAGCAAGGATCACACAATTGTTATTCCAATCAAGTTCAACAATGTTAGTTGTGTAATGACGGCAAAGAAATCTTCCCAAAAGTGTGCAGTTCACAGTTTTTGTTTTGCTTATTAAACCAATTGCTTTTTCAGCTTTTATTTTGATTTTCTCGTTTTTGTCATTGTTGTAGTTGCGCTGAGCTTGCTAGTAGCGTCATCATACAAAACAATTCTTGATGTGCAACGATTTTGCCTAAAAAACCAACAACATGCATTGAAAACACGCAACAAAATCAACGTCCGCAGGTACCCATACAGATAGGCTCAAGATTAGTTAGAGTTGTTTGTCCACTTTTCCTAAACCAGTTCTGATAAGTAGAAAGGGCGCTAATCACGCCAAACAAAGTTAAGCAATCACTCGATCAATTTCTCAAGTGTTTTGGTTGATTGCTTACCAAAAAAACGTCAAGTCTTGGTGCAGAAATTGAAATGTGGCTAAATAAACGCCTCATAAAGTCACTTGTGGGTTTTGAAAGGAAACAACTTTATCTTTCTTTTGAATTCACCTACCTGCTAAAAACCTATTTGGCAAATCTTGGCAACATGGGACTCAAACTCTCTATCCACAGAAAAAAGTCCAATTAAATTTTGTTTTCTATTAAACTGTGTTGTCAGATTCAGCCCCAGGATTGTCTGTTGTCTTTTCTAACACCCTTGCCTTGTATTTCTCATGATTTTGTCTCATTTCAACTTCCTCATAACATTTGTCTATCCTAGATCTAGATCTGTGTTAATGGCCTCTTCAACTTCCTTATAACTGTATAAATTATTATCTGACTTAGAATATTAATTTTGCGTGTCATCAGCATAGGTTGACAGGATGGTGTGCTTATATTGTAATTGAGTAATGCAGATCATTCATAAAAATACTGAATAATAGTCGTCCCAGTATTGACTCCTGAGGAATTCCCATAAAGATTGCCTACCACGAAATTGTGTCCCCAAGCTACATGTATCTCCAGCAGAGTATACTTGTGTGTTGCATTGTCAACTCTAATTAGCGTACTTCTCCTCGCACAGCTTGTTTAAGCAGTTTAACCAGGAGGCATTTCTAAATGATCTGAGCGTGGTTCCCTTCTTAATTTCGTACATATTTGATGATCCAAATGATGTCTACTGTTGTTGGGAGAGCCTATACAATCAAGTCCTCGATGATCATGCACCTGTTGCTACTTACACAAAGCATCATACTCCTGATTAAAAGTTCATAACAGAAATTCAGAAAATTGTGAGGAAAAGAGATTGTCACAAGAGAAGGTTTAGCAAGACCAGGTTACTGTAAGTTTGGGAAAACTAGGTACATATATCACTGTCAACAAAAGGATATCACAGCCAATCACGAAAACTGGATTGAACAACACGGTAAACAGGGGTAATATTTAATTCAACGATTTTATTCACATTTGCTCTGAGATACAATTTTACTGAAAACTTGTCCCGCACTAAGCTGAGATCATGCTCTAGGTAAATAGATTCCGGGTCAGCAAGGCAAATCGAAAATTCTTCCATTTAGTACAGTACTTGTGAGCCTGAATTACCTATGCTTGCGAATCGAATGTAATAATGATTGCTGCTTTACTTGCACGTGCATTCACGTGATAAGCGTGACATCACACGGACCTTAAACTCAACACCACAGCCATTGTGGCTACATATGTTGTATATTAGTCAAAACAACATGGGAATCTCAACAATGTGGACAGATCAAGAAAAATCTTGCTATACATTTAATAAAGTGCCACTGACCAAGTCAAGATTAGACTGCAGTCTAATCTTGTCACCCTCAACTACTGACTGAATTACCTATGCTTGCGAATCGAATGTAATAATGATTGTTGCTTTACTTGCACGTGCATTCACATGATAAGCGTGACATCACACGGACCTTAAACTCAACACCACGGCCATTGTGGCTACATATGTTGTATATTAGTCAAAACAACACGGGAATCTCAACAATGCGGACAGATCAAGAAAAATCTTGCTACACATTTAATAAAGTGCCACTGACCAAGTCAAGATTAGACTGCAGACTAATCTTGTCACCCTCAACTACTGACTATTCCAGAATTAAAGATCCAACTTGCCGGTTTTCTCAATCTGCATATAAAAAATGCTTTAGACTCCAATCATTTTCCACTATTTGTATTTTTGGGGCTTCTGATAGGTTCCGGGAAAAAAAGTCAAATTTCGCGGGACTTTCAGAGACAGATTCACAGAAAAATCAGCTGATTTCGCAGGAATTTTTGGGGCTACCTTCGCCAAAAACCAATCAGTAAAAAACAGCTGATTTTGTAAGAATTTTCTGGGCAAATTTCGCTAGAAATCGATAAATTTTGCACCATTACTCAAGTGTGTTTTATGTATTTTTTAACAGAGATAATCATTTGCTGTTTTAAATGAGCCAATGGCAAAGCTTTTAACGTCATGACTAGTGCCCAGTTCATCACAACATAATTTAAGGGGTGGCGAATGGTAAAGTCCGAGACTCGCCGAGATGCCAAGACCCTAGTTAGAAATCCGAGCCCGAGATTCTTTGATAAAAAGTTCCGAGACTCAAAAAAAGTAAAAACAAACCATGCAAAAACGAGACTTCAAGACTTATCAAAAACGCTTCCGAGATTTCGAGATCCTTTTAAAATTTTCCGAGACCCACGTTTTTCGAGGTACCATTCGCCACCCCTAATTTACGTGTGGTAGTTTTGGGGTGTTGTTTGCTTGTTGTGGTGATGAAGTTTCAAGATAACTTTGCAAGTTTACAACTACACAGCCCCAATTGCTAAGATAAGTTTCAAATATCTTGTACATGTATGTGATAAGATTTCTAGCAAAGTTTGCAGTATTTAGCTATCTGTCTTCTCATTGGCTAAGAGCCTACAGCTAATTTTGGAAATCAGCACAACCTACTGGTTACTATGAACAAAGCCCCCGGCTACTTTCATACAAAAATAAAAGAAAAATAGAACCAAAAAAAATCCCACTATTTGATTCCCCGCCTACTTGCTGTATTTACCCGACAACCTAGTGACAGCTGTGCAGATAAGTGAGTTATCTGCTAGCAGATAACTGACTCATCTATTGGTTGCACGTGCAATGCATGATTTCCAATAACAATATCAATTCAGTTTCCTTGCGATGGTGTATTTGTCATCATTTTCTTTAGAACAATGTATAATGAAACAATTATCAGATTCGGTTTTTGGGATACCCTAAATACAGTCAAATCCCGTTAATAAGGACACTGAGGGGACCGTAGAAAGTGTCCACATTAACAGGGTGTCCATATTAAGTAGGTTGAATTTAGAGAAAATGTAAGGGCTTTCTTTCCCCAGCAACAAAGCAAACTGTCCACAATAATGAGGTGTCCGTATTAAGCGGGTGTTTGTAAAGAGGGGTTTGAATGCAGGTAATCAAGGTCTCGGTAAGTGTTATCAGCCTTGGCCTTCACTCGGCTAAAACCTCATCCAATAATGTCGTTTATTATTCATTCACAATATTTTCCCATCTCTGATTGGATAAAACCACACACATAATTCACCATAACCAGCTGCTGTTGACCAAATTTGGGAGGAATTTTGTCATTGAACCAATGACGTCAAAATGATGTCAAAAGTGCAGCCTTTTGCAGGTTATTGAACCGTTGACCGACAAGCCTTGGGGACAAGATTGAGTTGCTTTGGTAGTTAGGACAAAATGGCAGAACTGTCGTGGAACATTTTACTCGTTTCACGGGGAATATTGCCTAAAAACATCGCAAGAACAGCAAGAAGACATTTTGACAGACAACATCTGATATTTGGAGTATATTTGCAGACCGAGCAAGCCCTTAATCTCCTTAACTGCGCGATAAATAGAGAATATTACATGGCCCCGGGGAGATACGACATTTCTCTTCGAGTGTTAAAAAATATTTCATCAGTGAGAGCAGCGAACGAGTGAAATATTTTTTCAACACGAGAAGAGAAATTTTGTATCTCCAAGTGGCCATGTAATGTTCTATTTATTATATAACCACCAATGAAATACCAAACCATTTCCCTTTAATGGTTTTTTGGTGTGAAAGGTGCAATTTATTATGTAGCCATACCAAAGGTGATATTTTCATACAGTGTTCTCACCAGGCCGCGGCCTTGCGGGATTCCCGCAAGAAAAACTGAAATGGCGCATTAAAACGAAGAAGATGCGCCCGTTAGGGCGCAGGGGCAATTGTTTGAATAAATAAAAGACATGATATCAAATGAGTCAAAGTCTTTCATTTTGTTGCCTTTACTTTCATTGCTCCCACGCACGTCCCACTACATCGTAAACTCCTCCTCCGAATCGTGAACACCTCTTCCGCCATATTGGATCAGGTAGGTACTTCATGTAACAGACAATTTGGAGTGCGGGCTCAGGTTCTTCGTACCGCGTGTTTTTTTTAACTTTGACCCCCTAATGTTCTTACAGGGCCCCTATTTCTCAGAAGAGGGGGCCCTGGGACTCCCCAAGGCAAAATCCTGGTGAGAACACTGTTCATATGTGAAGATAAAATGTTATTTTCACATGTGAAGATATCAAGTTTTCGCACGAAAGCTCGCCTGGTATTTCATTGGTGTTTATGTAATAAAGATGCACTATCGACACATCTTACATTGACCGAGGATAGCATGTTTTAGCTTGTTTTGGAACTTGGAAATATTTTGAATGAGTAATAAAACAATTATTGAATTCGGCTTTGGTAGGATATGAAGAATTCCGCAGATCGAGATCTGCAGAATTCTTCATATCCGTCGTCCTACTCAGCCTCGTTCAATAATTGCTAATTATAATAAAACATTAATCATTAATAATCATACAAAAAATCCTGATAATCGACATCGTTCGCATTAACAACCTTCCTTTCATGTCTCATCTGAGAAGTTTGAGAAAAGAATAGACCATCACCCAGTTATCTTGGGAATGACGTGAGAAAGTTAAAGAATCCCAAACACTTTTCTGATCAAAACTTATCCGCGTCTAGCCTGTCACTGGGAAATATTGAAAGGTATAAGCTCAAATAACTTGAAGAAGGAAGCACGACATTTGAAAATTCGCAAGGCACATACTTTAAACAATTGCTTCTTTTTCAAATTCCTGAATCTAGTCACTGAGTATATTCCGCTTTGAGAGAACATGCATCTAATACTGCGTACGTGCAAAGCTAGTCAAAATATGTTTACAAGACAATATTGGAATCTGGATCTTACACTTACCCGACAATTATTTCCAGAGAATCCTGAAGACAATCTGGCATACTTCCCAAAATATCAAATCTTTTAAAGTCAAGAATTATTCTTTTTCCATCAGGAACACGAACATCATAGGTGCAACTCTGGTTTGCAGGGTACTTTCCCATACTGTAACCAGGTGACTGAAGTGTGTCTTTCAAGGCCGAGTACCTCGGACTTGGGCAAGTAGCCGAAATAACACCAGGAAAACATAAAAACGTAGTGACAAGTAAAATTCCTTTGGTTCTGAACATTTTGTTATGTAGGAAGCGCTGCAGTTGTGAACAAATAAATAAATATCACAGGATACTTCCGCGAGGACGAACAACTCCCTCGTCGGCTGAATAACGTAGTGCGCAATTTTGCGCATCTGCGCATATTTTTGGTGACATCACTTGTTTACCAACCGTACAAGCCCGCACACACCCAATAGGCCCTTTGCAGCTAGACATTCACGTGGTACAAATGTCTTGGGCGACTTTTGCCCTCCAGCGTGGCTGTTTTGTACACGAGCGACTAAATACAGGAATGGCTCCGACCTGTAATTGGAGGATAAAAATAGTTAGTAATTAATAAGTTAACGCTTAACTTTCAGCCACGCGTCACACTGGACAACGATATCAGTAACGTCGTTGTGATGTGTGACTTCTGTTTCGTCTTAGGCAGTGAAAGAAGCAAGAAGTCGATGTATGAACCTTAAAATTTCACTTACATCGGCAGAACCTTTTTCTAGTGTTAAACAGTACCAACAGAGATGGGAAATTGTCAGAGCTTTGGCGAACAGCATTCAGTTCGGACTCAAACACTCGGAGCTATTCCTGTATTTAAACCGCTGAAGGGTCAATGTACAGGAATGGCTCCAATCTGCATAAAGAGAGACTTGTCACATGATGGTGTGTGGTGTGGGAGGGGGGTGGGGGTGGGGTCTGGGCGATCATGACCAGGTGATATAAATAAAAAAAGCAAAGAGCTTCACCGAAAAAAAAAATTCAAAATCAACTCAAATAAAAAATTCGATAACGGGATCATTACTGATTACTTATCTGATTGTCGCTGGTGATTAGCGATACGGGGTTGTTTTTAAATGATCTGTTACAAAGTTTTATCGAAACTAAAAATAACTTGCTTGCGTCCGCGTCCATGATATATAAGGCCTAAATTTAAAACTTCTCTCAGGTAGCTTAGTGGACATTATCGATTGATTGATAAAGTTAACATAAGTAGTGAGGTGCCCGCCTCAGTGCATACGATAGGGATGGGGGGTGAGGAGAATGAAAGCATTTTCTAGGGGGGTTCGCCACGTGAACATGCTTTTGTTAGGCTCTTCTGCCTTTACCGGTGGGTAAAGTCTATACCCGTTTTCAGACCAAAACGGCTCAATAACCCGTTTCCTTGGGGTGGCACATACCAAAATGGTTATATAAGGAAGTACCTCCCAGGGCACTTTTGTTATGGCCCCTCCTCAAAATAAAGCTAACTCAGTGGTATGTGCCACCCCAAGGAAACGGGTCATTGAGCCGTTTTGGTCTGAAAACGGGTATAGACTTTACCCACCGGTAAAGGCAGAAGAAATGCATACAAGCCTAACAAAAGCATGTTCACGTGGCGAACCCATCCCTATCGTATGCACTGAGGCGGGCACCTCACTACTTATGTTAACTTTATCAATCAATCGATAATGTCCACTAAGCTACCTGAGAGAAGTTTTAAATTTAGGCCTTATATATCATGGACGCAAGCAAGTTATTTTTAGTTTCGATAAATTGATTCGTTCAAGTTTTGGCGGATGAAAAACAATCCGGTACAAAAACTTTATAACAGATCATTTAAAAACAACCCCGTATCGCTAATCACCAGCGACAGTCAGATAAGTAATCAGTAATGATCCCGTTATCGAATTTTTTATTTGAGTTGATTTTGAATTTTTTTTTTCGGTGAAGCTCTTTGCTTTTTTTATTTATATCACCTGGTCATGATCGCCCAGACCCCACCCCCACCCCCCTCCCACACCACACACCATCATGTGACAAGTCTCTCTTTATGCAGATTGGAGCCATTCCTGTACATTGACCCGTCAGCGGTTTAAATACAGGAATAGCTCCGAGTGTTTGAGTCCGAACTGAATGCTGTTCGCCAAAGCTCTGACAATTTCCCATCTCTGTTGGTACTGATTAACACTAGAAAAAGGTTCTGCCGATGTAAGTGAAATTTTAAGGTTCATACATCGACTTCTTGCTTCTTTCACTGCCTAAGACGAAACAGAAGTCACACATCACAACGACGTTACTGATATCGTTGTCCACTGTGACGCGTGGCTGAAAGTTAAGCGTTAACTTATTAATTACTAACTATTTTTATCCTCCAATTACAGGTCGGAGCCATTCCTGTATTTAGTCGCTCGTGTTTTGTACCACCTGAATGGCTAGCTGTAAAGGGCCTATTTTGTATGGTGGCCCACAACTGTCACAGCAAAACCAAAAACCTCACGGCAAAAACAAAATACCTCACGGTAAAACCAAATACATCACAGCAAAAGCAAAAGGGCTTTGGTTTTGCTGTGGGTATTTGCTTTTGCCGTTATTTGGTTGTCGAAATCGTGTCGGTTTATGATAATATGATCAATTAGCGCATATCGTTTCGAAGAGTTGAATAACGTGTAATCGAGAACTTAGGGTCAAATCGTGATTGACAATGCAATTAGATCGGAAATCAGTCGACTAAACGGCGTTTAAACCGGCCGTAGGACACAGAGTGGCTATGAACTAAAGGTAAGGGAGCTTTTTGAATCAATATTTCGCGTGATCATGATTTTTTTTCTCTTAGCGTTGTAGATTCGAATACATGTGATAAAATTTGAACATTAAGGGCCCGAATCACGTGTAATAATGCAAGAAATATCGACCTTCGTTATCTTAAAGGCTACTAGTACAGATAGACAAACAAGAAGACTTCATATCTTTAAGATTTTTGCGTTTATTTACCATCAGATAATACACTAATAATTCTAGTATATTCCGACCAAATGACCTCTGAAGCCCGAACCCACAGATAGTGCGCTTGGGCTGCCTGTGACGTAAACTGCCATTTAAAAAACATACCTCGAAAAGACATGTTAAAAAAACGTCATTTTAGCAAGTTTTGATGTTTTATCGATAAACTCCGGCGCTCATACTAATCATATAATTTAGCTTAGGTGGATGTTGTGAGTCTAGGTGCCCTGTAGGCAAATACAACTGGTGAAAACAACTTACAGTCTGCAGTCTGCAGTCTGCATACAAAGCTTTATGAATTTAGGTAAATCGTTTTTCCGAATATCTCGCATTTGAAATATTGCACAGACCTGATTTTTGGCAAGACGTTTTGTATATTTATCTTCTTTCATTTCCCAGATTCTAGACGTTCTGTATTGAATGGTTTGCATTTTTATTTTTCATTGCGTGACAGTGCAAACCGAGAATAAATTTTTTAAATATCATAAAGGGGCTAAACGGGTAGTAGTGGCAATTTCATACGCTTTCATAAGCTCCTAGGCTTATATATCCTGAATATGGATTGTATGCAACTCAAAATAGAGATAACCACGCTGTATCGCTTGATTCTGCTCCCGCCATTGTCCTCCACGGAGTATTCTCAGTTGGAAAATTTTAGATTTGGCGCCAATGTTAGCTTGTGATTGTGGAAGTAGAACTTTTTTTATTATGAACTTCTTAAACTTTCTTAGGTGAACTTCTAAAAACTGGAAAACTACTGTTTGAGACTCAAACGAAAGCAATAAAACTGGGATGGGATTCGCACTCTCACGGGATTTATTTTATTTCAGTAAATTTTTTCGTAGCCGCGGCCGAGTTCCGGTTAGGTCTCGGTCGATGTTAGATAGGATTTCGTCACGTGTTGACACTAAATAACATCGACCGAAACCAGCGTTCTTTGGGAAGACCATAAGCCTCGTCGTTCAATGCAATACAGTTGAGTCTATTACAGTCATTACAGATTTGACATTTTTTTAGTGACATAAACTGGAAACGACAATATTGACCATTTTATAACGCAAATTAACTCAAATATAGCATCTTTGCTGCGATGGATCAAGGGAGCGGAAGTCAACGGGATCATTTCAGTCATTTTGTAAGACGCCGCTGACATATCGATGACTCCTCCGGTTTAGGTCGATGTTACCTAGTGCTTTCCGCCAAACAAAGGTGACTTTTGCCTGCGCATGCTCGAACTATTCCCAGGTTTCTCGGGTTTTCGTACTTTTCACAATCTGGTCCCTAGAGCCTCCGTTACTTTTGTCAAAGTCTCTCAAACGGACTGGAGAGACTGCTTTTGTCCAGTCGCTGTATAAAAGGATTGTGGTCTCTGGGAACGTTGTACTTTTCACAGAACAAACAAATAAGAACGGCAGAAATTAATCACCCGATCCTTCAACAGGTCGTCGGTAAGCCAGGTAAAGGACTTTAACATAAAAACAAACTCAATGTGAAGACAGAAAAGCATGTTTCACGTTCTTTACGGTATTTTTTCGGTCGATAAAGCTCTACTTGTAGACACATAACATCAACAAAGATGGCGATCTCACCACAACAATGCTTCGGCGAGTAATCGTGGAGTCATTTTTATGTAGCCCAAGCCTGTTCCTCAGGTCCTAATGGACGCTAACAAAAAGGAAAAGGTCTGTTATGGTAAATAAACGTAAATTTTGTTGAAAAAAAATATATATTTGCATAAGAACAACATGATCTACATAATAAAGAATGAGGGGTTGTATCAAAACAAGGTCAACTCTAGCCTCGACTGTAATTGTAAAATAGGATATTATTGTTTTCCCTTTAGTTTTAGATGCAGATGTAGTGTTTGCTTATACTTTGGACTACATTTACATGTATTAAATAACCAGCAAGAAAGTGATTAAGTCAAGTACATGTATATGGTGGGCCCCCCTTTGAGCATTAATTACGGTGAACCTAGACTGCAAAACAGTCGGTTTTTTTCTCAAAATCAGTAAAGAAATCGGTAAAGCGTGCCGTAAGAGTCTTACGCGCGCGAAGCGCGCGAACCTCACACGCCCGTTTTAGCGTCTCTCCCCAAGTCTCGTTCCCTGTTTTCAGCCTCGTTCCAGACCTTTTGTTTGACTGCTCACGCGTTGCGTACTTAAATACGCAAAAATACGGACTGTTTTGCAGTCTACAGTGAACCGCATCCAGACGTTAACCGACTCCAATTCTTCTCTAGTTTTGTAGAAAACAGGTAACTTATTTTGATAGAAGGGGTCGTGGTGAGGAATGTTTTGAAAAAAATAAATAAATAAATGAGGAAGTCTCTGAGTGGCTACATGCATCATTCCGCCATTCAGAGGCCGTACAGTCAGAAATTCACAACCTGGCAGGAAACAGAAAAACTATGCCTAAGCTTATAAAACTCAACAACACTCTAAATAATTGAAGATCAAGACGTTGTACACAGTTTGAGTGATAAAACATGCCACATAAACAATAAGCTTACCTTTCTCCGGGTCGGCAGGACGTTTCAGTGAAGTGGAAAAATACGTTTCCTCCTCCACAAAAGACTCTTTATTGCAGCATTTTGTGAATGAAAAATTTCCCATCCCAGCCGATGTACTTTGCTTTAGATGGGTCTTTTTGGCAACGCGGCTCAGCAATAAACGCATGTTAAAAATCTTGTCTACACCCCTATGAGTACCATGGGCTAAGAGAAAGACATCACACTTTGTTAACCTGTACATGCCATGCCAGGACTTTGGCTTTGGTAGCCATATTTGCTTACTCACTGGGCGCGCTGTGAGGAGACTGAACACTACAAAAT